ACAGTTCAGTGTTAGTGGTAAGGCAATGACAATGGGTGGGCTGGAATCATATACCATTTGGATTAGGAATGGGATGGCACTATAATTTAGATGGGCTTGAAAGCAGACAATCGAATACTTTGGCAGTATAGTGTAGCTTATGAGATTGCAGATATTGAGCTGTTTGAACATGTGCTTCTGAAACAATGTGCTCCTTCAAAAAAATAAATGAATGAAAATGGTGTTCTAAAGAGCTTTATCACATTAACCCTATAAACCCTAACCTAGGGTTTAAAGCAGGGGTGGGCAATTCCAGGCCTCAAGGGCCGGTGTCCTGCAGATTTTAGATACCACCCTGGGTCAACGCACCTTAATCAAATGATTCGTTTATTACCAGGCCTCTGGAGAACTTCAAGACATGTTGAGGAGGTAATTTAGCCATTTAAATCAGCTGTGTTGGATCAAGGACACATCTAAAACTTGCAGGACCCCACCCCTGGTTTAAAGGGTAAATTAGGGTTAGGGTTTAAAGGGTTAACTGATTACATGTCAATACATTTTTAGAGTAACTATACACAATTGTTTTCAATCAAAAACACAGCCCAATCCTCCCACCTAAACACCAACACTTTTCACCAACACTGAAAAGTGTTGGTGAAGTCATTTTTTAAAAAAAGTAATAAATTACTAATTACTGATTACTTCTCCAAAAAAGTAATCCTCTTACTTTACTGATTACTTATTTCAACAGTAACTAGTTACTTTTTTAAAAACATGATACACAACCTGAATAAGTAATAAAGCAATAGACCTTTCAGCCCAATTCTATTTTTATGCATAATCCATCATATAAAATCAAATCAAATGGAAAGCCTCTTTTTAAAAATCATTTTATGAGTTGTAATCTTTTAATTTTATGCACATTGCATTAAGCAAAGATTTAATTATATGTAACACTGTGTTTGACTTGAATAATTTTTTTAACATTTAAACCTATTTTCTGCATAATCCAGCATATAAAATATAACAATGTTTTGTGTTTACACTCATTCTTTAAAATAGATGCAAGTAAAACACAGCAAAAAATAAAATAAAATCAAAGATTCAGCGACACTAAGTCCTGTCGCTCTTAAATCTATTGCCACCTGTTTAGCAGGAGTGGGGCGGTGGAGTTTTGTCCGGTGGCCATGTCAGTGGGGGGTTCCAGACATTTCTCTGTGAATTTCACATTCCCGTGGCGGCTTGCTAGGTGTTTGCTCAGATTTTAAGCTTAATTTTTCGCTGTAGAAAGAAGCTTTCTTCCCAAGCAGAGTGTACAGCGCACGCTAATGTTTTTGTCACTTTCTACAGAATCAAACTCAAAGTAATGTAAGTATGTCCACGCTTTAAACACTGCATGGTCGTACTCTCTCCCGCACTCCATATTATCCATTTTTGATCTACACACGTCTGTTGCTGTCACGGACATCACACGCTTATACGGCATTGTCATGAGACACTCTCACAAACAAAATCACGACGGTTTAGTAACGCATTAACACAGCGTACTTGTGGGAAAGTAACAGTAATAAAATTACTTGTTTTTTTCAATAGCAATCCCTTACATTACTTGTTGCTTGAAAAAAGTAATCGGATTTCGTGTTACAGCCCATCTCTGCTGCTGGGAACTATAAATGTATCAAATATAGCAGTCTGGGAACCCAGCCAGCTAATGATGTCTCTGATGTCTTTATGATATAATCATAAGAAGGTATCTATTAATATAGATTATGAAGATTAGAGTAAAAAGAGTATTTTTAATAGAGAAACTGTATTAATATTATGGTCAGGTTTAATGTGGTACAATCGTGGTCGTCGTCTTTTTTTTTCTTTCTTTTTTTTTTAAATCGTTGTCATTTGGAAATGAGATCGCACATAAGTATGAATCGAAATCGCGATTTTCTAACGATTAATCGTGCAGCCCTAGTCTTTACTATGCTGTACTAAATTACCTAATATTCTCATAGAATACACATTTTGAATGACACAAGATGATTCTATATTTATTTGTTTTTCAAGACCTTATAAACCAGTGATGTCAAACATAAGGCCCAGGGGCCAGAAACGGTCTGGCAAAGACTCCAATCCAGCCCACCAGACAACTTTGGAAAACGTGACAGAGGACTTGCATTTTGGACTTTTAAATGTATTTTCTTGCCCTGCTAGACCTCAGTGCAGCATTCCATAACATTGACCATAACATTTTATTATAATGATACTTTTAACCTTATAAAGGGAGCTTACGCAGGGGAGAGCAGTGGTCATGATTTATGAGCTGAATCATTGTTCTTTTGCAAAATTCTGAGCACATTTTAATGAACACCAACACAACATTGGTGTGATTTTAACTACACACAATAATTAGTTAATATAGTTTAGTTAACACAGTTTTCTTATTTATATATACTGAGTTTTCTTAGAGACCTGGAATGTAAACGTGCCTGTGTTTAAAGGACTTTGGTTAAGCTTCCATCCATCTATTTTCTTCTGGTTATCCAGGGCTGGGCCTGTGGGGGCAGGAACCTTAGTAGAGAAGCCTAGATCTCCCTCTCCCCAGCCACCTCCTCCAGCTTCTCTGGGAAAACACCAAGGCTCTCCCAGGCCAGCTGAGAGATATAATCTCTCCAGTGTGTCCTAGGCCTGCCTGGGGCCTCCTCTTGGTGGGACATGCCCAGAACACCTCATCCAGGAGGCATTTTAATCAGATGCCCAACCTGTTTGTACACACCTGTGTACAAACAGGTACTCCCAGACACAGACTATGCAAACGCCAAAAACACAGTCAAGCGCTGTCAGAAACATGCCAAATCCTAACTGTTTAGAAGTGTTGGCCAATCAGAAGTCTAGAAGCCTGGCTGGAAAAAATGTAAACAGGGTTTTATGCTAACCTTAAATACTTCTGAATTTTGTTTTTCTGGAAAGGCACCTAATTTTGTGTTACTTTCAAGTGCCTTCATCATTTCAAATGTTAATAACTAAAGACAGCATTTTGCTGTTGTGTAGACTCACAACTTAGGAATGAACAAAATGCATACAGCATAAATAAATTTAATTTAAAAAAATGTATTCAATACCGACAACAACATTCAGTCAGGATTTGGGTTGTGAGAGCGTTTGTGTTGAATGTAGAAGTTCACTGTGACGCCTCTGTCTTTTTAAATGGAGGGACAGTAACTGCATGTGTACATGTAAAGCTGGGCTTACACTGTGCGATTTTTGGCCCATTTTGAGACAATTTTCAGTCATGTGACCATTTTGGGGATCAGCCAGAGTTTCACCTTAATCGTGTGTCGTGCATTGTGTAGTATACATGGGGTAACGAAGAGCGATTAACACCTCACAACCAGCTCCCGATCAGCAATCGTATGATCACAAGAAAATGAAACCTGTTTGAAATCCTGGTCGCCCCTCGTGAAGCAATGCCACGAGCCGATTTAACGCAACCTCTCACACTGCACATGCGCAAACACAGAAATGGAAGTCAAAAAGACAGAGTACCATGGCAGTGCAGCGTGTGATCTGGACACAAGAGATGGAGGCCCAACTTGTAGAAGTTGGCAGGCTCATCCGAGCTTTTTCGATGTGGCCTCACAAAATTATCACGACCGCAACAACCGTAAAAAATTGTTGGGTGGACATTGCTGCTCAATTGCAGCTGTCTGGTCAATGTTTTTACATTAGCAATTTAGCAAAGTTGATGGTGGTGGTGTGTGTGTGTCTGGGAGAGGGAGAGACATTTTGTGTTATAACTTGTTAGGGACGGACAGTGTGAGCACTCAGGTTGCATCAGAGCATCGGGCTGTATAGTGTGAGACCCTGCATCGAGACCAACAAACTTATAACCCCTGCAAGTCAATCGTACAGTTTGAGCAGGAGCTGAATAACGTGATTGAAAAAAATCGCACAGTGCATGTCTTTTCTCTCCCTCTCTCTTCTCCTGTGTTTCTTTCCCTCTCCTGTCCAACTTCTTTTTTCTTCATCTCTCTCCCCGGTCTGTTTTGGTTTTTACAAGTTAGAATTAAAAGTAAATAAATAATTACATAAATAAATGAATAAATAATAAAAATCGAAAAAACTATGACAATCAAGTGGATCAGTATGGCAAAAGCTGTAATGAACTACTTGGGAAAGTAAAGCTGTTGGAATTCTTCTTGACCTTCAGACAATAATTCTGAATGCTACAGTGCCGGACAGAACAGGCAAAATAAATAAATAAATAAATAAATAAATCTGTCTGTCTCTTCATTATTGAAGTGAATATTTTTGAAGTGTCACTATTGCTTGGAGGCAAATTACCAAAGGATTGTAGACAAGTCGGCATTTACCAGGAAAACTCCAGAAACCTTAGTAATTTGACTGTGGCCAAAGAAATTATATATCATATCATATGATATCATATATCACATCATATATCACGTATCATAAGTTTTCCAGTGCTGCCCATTTTTGTGACTGATTACTGCGTTTTTGTGATGGAGGTCTTAGAAGAAGAAAAAATCTGAAACAAGCTGTTAAACCCAGGAAAGGAGTACAGTGTAGTACAAACAAACATCATGCAATATCAGAAGGGAGTGTCACAGGCTGGGTCTCTGACCCAGTGCTCTGAGCCTCTCTTTTGTATTTGTTTCATTTTTGATATGTTATTAGTTTTTGTGTCAGTTCCTATCTGTCTTTAGTTTGGGTTGTTATTGTTTATTGTTCCTTGGTTTTCTATGTTTTGGGGTTTTGGTATTTATCATTATGTATTTAGGTCTGTTAAGTTTGGGTTGCCATGCTTAGTTTTAGTGTTCCTGTTTTATTTTGACAGTGTCTTGTGTTCCTTGTTCATTATAGTTAGCTTTCTTTTCTTGGTCCTGTCATTAGGGTTATGTCTGTCAGCTGTTCCCCCATGTGTCTCTACTTCCACTGATCACCTCATGTGGGTATTTAAGCCTTCTGTTTTCTGCTTGTCATTGTCGGTTCGTCTGTTAAATATGGGGAAGTAATACATTCTTGTGCCCTTCCTGTAATCATGTACCACAGCTACTACGCATGCATGTCCACCAAATATAAAGAGAGCCTGACCAGCCACTCAGCCGTCAGAGAAATCTAAATCCCTTGTGATAAAAGACTTTCATTTGGCATTTAGAGAGTGGAAAAGGTAACATGTTTTATAACAGATGAATCACAGTTATTCTGTAAATGTGCTGAGAATGGTCAATGTCTATTCCTGATGATGATTCTTTTTTCTTTTCTTTTTTTTAGGATGAAGTGTATTGTGGCATTTCTTGTGCTGTCGATGGTCACCCTCATGGCTGAACCTGGAGAGTGCATTTGGGACGCAGTTTTCCATGGAGGTATAGTTTTTGAAAAAGCATGTTTTAGAAAAAAAGGTTGACATAAGCATACAATTGTGCTGAATGTACTACTAAATATTCATATTTATATATTTATATTATTTTCTTCTCATTTGTTTTATTTAGCCAAACATTTTCTTCATCGGTAAGAGAGTTTATAACAGTTATAATAATAATAATAATAATCAGTAGTAGTAGTAGTAGTAAAAGTGGTAGTATAATGCAAAATTTCTGTTGTAATGTGTCTGCTTTGCTACCACTAGGCTCGTCAATGGACCTGATGGCAAGGATGCTGTCAAGGATGTCCAACAAAAGCAAGAGCAGCAAAAAGATCAGGAGCTGGATAAGCGTGCAATCAGTTACCACCGTCGTCGACTTAATTTTGACTAAATTCAAGCTACCACCAAAAAAACCTCCATTCTATTGAAAAGAAAAGCTTCGTCTATAACAACAGAAATAAAATGCAGCTAATTATTTCTTGAAACTATACTTTGTGTTACTTTACTTGATAAAGTACTCTTAGTGTTTTTGTTTTTGTGAATTGTCTGTTCTTTAATAAATTCATATTATAGCATGCTGAAACCTTGGGTGTCTAGGCTTATGTAATACAAATATGATTGCAATACATCAAAAGGAGGCAGCTGATTATTACAAACTCGATCGCCCTTAGAAATTTGAAGGGCTAAAGGTAAGCAAATTTAATATAGGGCACACTGTAACAGTCACAATGATGTGGTGTCTCTTCAATGCAACCTAAGCCAAGGGTTTATGATGTCATTAGTGTGTGGCACTGCCCTCTCTGTGAATTATGGGAACAATGTGCTTGTGCAGGTAGAGAGACAGACTTTATATGTTTTACCTCTCCACAAACTTTTGCAACGTTACAGGTTGTATGAACACTGTGTGTCATGTTTGATAAGCAGCAGCCGTTCAACCGGGCCTTGTATGGTTGATGAAGAGAAGGTACATAAAAGGATACGCTGTGGAACTCCCAGTACCAGTGTGATCATGTATTCTTCGTACTATCCTGCTAAGGTTTCTACCGCCTCCTCTCAACCACTGAACACAACCCGTTACAACGCCTTGCAGACTCCACATTTTATGTCATCTTTCAGGTATTTGTGTGGAAAGTTTACTGTTATTGCTCTGGAAGTCATTATAGGGGGGAAAAAATGTCTGGCCTTCGGTTAGCCATTCTGTTCATTTTAGCCGCTAGGGTGCCTGACTGGAGCTTCCATGTGGTACTGAGGCAGGTTATTGGCCGGTAGTTGGATGGGACCGGTCCCTTTCTGGGATCAGGACCATCCGGCCTTCAGTTAGCCATTCCGTATCTTTGAGAATGTCTTTGTGAGTCAGTCATTTGGGTCCTCTCTCTCTCCACTCCACAATTATGTTTCAAAATGTAGTTATAAAATATTCAGTACTTTTATTACAATTAAATGTATTCCCCACTGCTGTGTAATCTATGTTGATGATGATGGACCTGCGACCAGAACAGCAGATGTGTGCCCAGTGTACCACTCTCATAGAGCACCCTTTTCAAAAATCAAATGTTGTTTGAAACAGATACTGGTGATTTTAAAAATATAAACAGTGGGGATAGGGATAGGTTAATTGGATAATCCAAATTGCCACTAGGTGTGAATGTGCGAGTGAATGTGAGTATGAATGGTCTGTCCTTGTGTGTTGGCCCTGCGACAGACTGGCGACCTGTCCAGGGTGTACCCCACCTCTCGTCCTATGACAGCTGGGATTGGCTCCAGCACCCCCCGCGACCCTGAAAAGGATAAGCGGTAGCGAATGGATGGATGGATAAACAGCTTTTAATTGATAGTACTATTTATCTGATGCTGCCATATCAGATAAATAGTTTGTTTTTCATCGTCTTCTATCTAAATCACCAGGAAAATGATCAAAAAACATTCTCTTTTTTTATTTGATTATTCCTGCACCCAAGAAGGCAGCAGAATATAGCTGTTAAGGGGAAACAAATAGCAATGATAATTTTTATGTAAAGAATGTATAAGTCATTGGGTGTGATTGCTGCTTGTTATCACATCCAATATTGCAGAGTTCTTGCATGATGTTTACATGATGCCACATGCACAACCTCAGTAGCGGATATTTTGGACAAAGGATGTTGAAAAACTAGTAGGCAGGAGTTGTTGTGAAGGAGGATGTGCAGAGAGTTGGCATGGCAGAAGAGAATGCTATGGATAGAGTGAAATATAGGCAGCTAATTCACTGTGGCGACCCATTAGGAAGCAGCTAAAAGAAGAAGTTGCAACACAATATTTATTTATACTAAAAATAACCCTCTAAAGTCTAACCTGTTGCTGGCTTCAGACAAGTGTTTTTTAAACATCTCTAAGTCCTGTAAGTCGTGAACCATTTGACTCTGCGCTTTTCAGTGATATTAAGGTCATTACGGTAATCCCAGGCACAGGGTGGCAGAAGCCTCAGGAAGACCAAATTGAGAGAAGAGAGTGTGTGAGTGTGATGCAGCTCTATAGAAGTCGTGAAAAGGAAATAACCATCTCTGGATAAAGAAGGGCCCAAGAGTACATCTTTCACAATCTTACAATACTGAGATTACAGCTATTAAGCAACTCTATGTGAATGGTATTCATGGCCATTGATCAATAGGCTTTGATCAAGGGTTGTTGATCAATTGCCATGACAGTTTGCATATTAATGATCAAGGAACTGACCTTTTTTTTAAAAAAAAATTTATAATCTGTTATATCTTGTAAAGCACTTTGTGATTTCTATCTAGAAATGTGCTATATAAATAAAATTTTACTTACTTACTTACCTCATGGCCCATTGTTCATTCAGTGGGCTTGTTTCACTCATTGTGCAAATGTATTGTTTATAAGATTGCCCACAGTTAGCTGAGACTGAAGAAGTCACTTGGATGAATGACGAAACGTTTTTCCCACTGAAAACGCTACGTCCAGATGAGCAGAATCAACCTTTTGCTTTATAGAAAACTAACATTTTTTTTGCTGTTTGCTGTGCTTTTTTTTGTTTTTTTGCCAAGATTTGGATATGGCGCCTTGCCTGGGATTGCCGTGACGACCCTAATATCACTGAAAAGCACAGTGTTGCTGCTTTCAGGAAATGGAATTTTGCAATTGCACCAATGGTCCAAGAATGATAGCAGTTTGGCCTAAGAGTTTGACAAAAAACATAATTAGTATAATATTACTATAAAGATCACCACTAATTAATATTAATAGTATATTAATATAGAGATCTAGAGTCCTTCCTTTCCTCCTCCATACTTTTGTTTTCCCATCTTTATTGTAAAAGTTAATTGATTCAATCTCCAAAGAATTCCTCACCAGAACTGTGCAGGGTATTTTAGCTATTTTCAAGCACAATGTAATCTGGACTGAAAAGTTCAACTTCAGTCATTTTATGCTTAATTTGCCATTGAAAGGCAATGGAACAGATCTCATCTCACCATGAAACTGCCTGTCCCTAAATTTTTCCAATTACTTTTAAACTTCTGAAAATAGTTATAGTCAAAGGTAGAAGTTTTGTCAATTAAAGCTGGAAGTCTGCACTTTATTCACACCTTGAGCTTTGGGCAAAATTGCAAAAAAAAAGAAGAAAGAAAAGATAGCACTGTATGAGCTCTTTTTGTTTGTTTGTTTTTTTTTAAGATTTTGGTCAAGTATAAAAAAAATATTAAAAAAATTCTAGAAACATTTTCATCAAGATATAGCGATTTAAAGTGGGATAATGTGTTCAATTGTTTGACACTGAGCACAAAGATGATCATTACATGACCAAAGACTGTGCAGTTATGCAGGTTTTTTTGCATTTCAAAATACCATGTGATAGTCTAATTTTTCTTTTCCTTCCTGTTTTGCATAAGCAAGACAAAGTAATCCAGCTGGTACATAAAGAGATGAGTAAACAGACAGAGATCATTACTTGTAGGCTTTATACCACTTACTTTCCAAAAGTTGAAGAGTTGAATTCCATTTCAATCAGAAAGGTATGTAATGTTAAATATGTTATCATTTTCCTACTTTACTTTGAACTAGCTGCTCAAAAACAACAATTTATAATTTCTTTGGTTCTTATCTCTAGGATGAAGTGCACTATACTGTTCCTTGTGCTGTCGATGGTCGTCCTCATGGCTGAACCTGGGGAAGGCTTTATTTCCCATATTATTGGTGGAATTATTCATGGTAATCTTGTTGATATTTAGATTTTTTTTTACAGTAACCCGTTCTCATGGTATTCTAATAATCATCATCTTGGTAGAAATTGTAGAAAATGTATGAATGGAGATGTGTAACTACTGTAATAACATTACAGTGTTTAATGTTAATTTAATGTTGGACTACTATGTTTACCAGTTTCTTTGCTCGCATTTCCTATGTAAATCACAAGTTTACTATATGCATAACCATAAACACATACATATACATTTAAAATTTTAGAAAGAAACACACCAAGGTTTAAGTTTGGACAATAGCATATAGGGGTACTTTCATTATTTTACACGGGAACCTTATGAGGATGAGAACCAATTTCTCTGAAAAAGTGAGGTGTCTGATTTTATTTAAAAGCAACAGCTAATGTCAGATTTGGCTGGAGGCTTATGGGCTTAAAAATTTAAAGTTGACCTGTAAAATTGTCTAATATTGAAAACATCTTACCCTCTGCCTCATTTATTTTACCTTTGTTTACTTAAAATTAGGAATGCCAGTGATCATTACTTCCTCACTATAATACAGTTAACACAAAAAAATAAGCTAGCTTCCTCAAAGTCTTTTATCAGCAAAAAATAGGTTTTTGGCCGTGGTATCAGATACCATGATCGCAGCTCAATTATCATTTCTAGACAAAGCTAATTTAGGATAAGTAAGTTGTACACTACAGTTACGGTAACAGCATTATACATCCTGCATTACTGTGTTTTATATTATATGAATTATAGTATGGTAAGATGTACACTACAGGCACATTCCCTTTGAATGGTATAATTGCATTGTACATCCTGCATTAATATTATATGTATAATACTGTGTCAAATTCATACTACATTATTTCCATCTCTTTTTTCTTTTATTCAGCTGGCAAGGCTATCCATAGGTAAGAACTTGTGCTTCTACAATTATTGCAAATGCTTGACAACTACTCTTGTTGCATGTGGATCTAAATTGTCATTTCTCTCTGACCACAGCGCAGATAAACGTCGCAGACAAAGAGGAGAACTGCAGGTAGAGCAGGAACTGCAGCAGGAACTGCAGCAACAACTACAGCAACTGAAACAACTTCAGCAACAGGAAAAGCTGAACCAACGCTTTAACCGAGAGCAGCTCAAACGAGAGAGAGTTGTTTTTAACTAGACTTCCACCCGAAAGAGAAAGTCTAAAACTCTTTAC